AGTGTTTTTTGAATGCAGGGAGCCTACAGAGCATCTTTACAAAGTGGATGGTGAAGGGTGCACGAGCAAAGGCAGAGGTGAAGTTCCGTATTTCATGAACTTGTTCTCCTTTGAGTTCTTATCAACTGAATAACTGCAGTAGAGTTCCTGCTTTACACTTACCTTCTCCTACATACCAGTGCACGAATGCTCTTTTAGAGTACATCAGATCGAACTTGTGGTCAAGACGAGCCCAAGCCTCTGCGATTGCGGACGTGTTACTGCAAGTGGAATCATCACATAGAAGGCTTCATTTCGCCAGGATGATACTTGTCATCAAATCGGCATAAAAATTAAAAGCTGGCTCACTAGCTATTCTTTCCAGAAGTTGAATTGATATGGAAAGACCCTCACTTTCACTCCTACAGATACTACTGTGACTTAGTTGTCACTGGCGGACATGATCATATCCAAGTGCCCATTATGCGAGAGAAGGCTCGGAAAATGGGGAGGGCCCCCAAATAATAATAGCTAAAGGTTATCACAACTTTGCGTTCATTAACCCTTTGATTCATTCTTTCTACTCATGTGCTGACCCCTAGAAACCTTAGCTGTAGGAGATGCCTTGAGTTGAGTTACACAGGTGCTACGAGTATGCCCTCCAGCTTCTGCTACCTCCTCCCTTCGGACCATGAGGAGAAGTGAGCCTCTAAGGGAGGCACTACTGTAGTGTATTCTCGTTCGCAGTCAGAAGCGGTTCCTCTAACTTGTGAGCAACGAACGTTATTACGCTTCCCCAAATCACCACCAGGCACAACAGTCGGTGGTTGGTAGTTGATGCCTACTTTGAAACCGGTTGGGCTCCTGTAATAGAACAATTATCCAACTTTGTTTGAAGTCATGTCGGAAAAGCTTTATGAACCTATACATGGACCATAAAATAAGAAGATTTGTTATGAACCTGAATATTCTGAGAATGAGACACTTTGGTTGTTTTTGGAAAGATGACATAAAGTTTCGAAGTTGCAGGGGAACATTTGTTTCCGGAGCTTAACTCTCCCGAAAGGATGTGACAACTTGATCAAAGTAAAGGAAGAAAAGTGGTTCAATAGTGAATGGCCCTGGGTGGGCACAAACGATAGGCATTTACACACTTTGCAGAGTCTTTACCTCTAAGAAAAAGAATCGTCTCCTGAAACATACTCATCACAAACAAGGCCTGCAAGCAGACTTAGGAGCAGAAGTAAAACTTTGATTACACTCGAAATCCCTGAGATGCGGTAGGCGTGGCTGCATACTTGGTTGAACGTGAGGCGGCTAAGCTTTCCGTGAGGTATTTTCATATTGGGATCGTGTCGTAGTTGTAAATCATGGCTTCGTCTACATATTAAAATGGCAGTCGTACCAAATCAAAATACCTCACGAGTGGCCAATTCTACGCCATGTTCGAAGTGTGCCAATTCTAGGCCATGTTCGAAATGCCGCGCCTGCTCACGTCTCACGCGGATAAGGAGAATATGTATCCTTTCCAAAATGCTCCCGCTTCATTTATTCCATTCTGAGCCGTAGTGGCTCACCCAAACTTCCCGCAACAATCACATTGGGACTGATAAAATCTGAATAAGGACGATCGGACTGTTCGATTGCGTCCACCCAACAGCCGTCTTCTAGTGGTCTGGAACTGGGTTACAGTGAGTGATTTTTCGGCACTATTCAACTATTACTACCCCAATTTTCCGAAAACAAGTTAAATCTTGATCGACTTTTCTTCTACGGGGATCAGATTTGGCTGAAAGTTGGGTTCTAGGGGTAATTCGACCTCCTGAACACGAATATCACATCCACTTAGTCTGAAAGTGCCTGGCGCCCGCGCCACAGGCCGGCGCCAAGGTACCCTAGGTCACCAAATCCGCTGAAAACTTGTATACGGAGGTTATTTGACATCTTGATTACAAATATCACATTCATTTTTGGCGCTGGCGCTGATGGAAGACGCTGCGATCATCTGCGCTCTGCTAAGGCTGAGCCTGACCTGAAGGAAATCACTCTTTCTCCCAGGCTCAGCCTTAGAAAAGCGCTAAATGGCGCTGGCGTCGAAAAATAAATGTCATATTCGTGATCAGGGCATCAAACAACCCCATTATGCAGGTTTTTATCGATTTTGATAAAAAAGGGTGTGGCGCCAAATCAGCGCCTAATGGCGCCAAATGGCGTCAGGGCTGAAAACTAATTCGGTATTCGTGATCAGGACATCAAATAACCTACTATGCAAATTTACACCGAATTTGGTGAGAAAGGCGGCACTAAACTGGCGCCAATTGGCGCCAATTTGGCGCCAGCGCCTGAAACGAGTGCTATGTCCGTGGCAACAGAATGGGGTAGTAATAGTTGAATAGTGCCGGTTTTTCTTATGAATCAGTGATATACTCCTGCTGCTGAACCTAAATAGGGCAGCAGAGGCGTTTGGGCCTGCACTACACTCTGTCGAGTATACTTGGCGTAGAATACACTGCGTCACTGGTCAGCCTAGGAGGCATCGAACTCTCTGGCATAGTAGAGGTCATGGCCAATGAAAGAGGGCCTGGTACATTCAGCCTGCTTAAAAAAAAAATAGACAAACAAGTTATACTACCACATACGCAAGTAACAGATAAAAAAGAATCGCGGTATACAAATATACGCAAGAAAAACAGTAACACGACGAAACCTAAGAAGAAACAAACCAAAAAGAGAAAAGCAGTAGGAGCTAAACGGGCTTACCGCTGATAAACGTGACAGTGCAACAACAATGTGGACATACTGACAATACAGAATGAACGCACTTGTACCGAAATCGCAGTGACAAAAACCGGAAATGAAGCTAGTCGGATGAATACGGTAGTGCGCAAAAGGACCTAACCATTAGGCCCTTCAGCCATTCCGCAGTAAGGCGTGTGTGAGACTACGCGAAAGAGTCCTAATGATTTAGGTCCTTTTGCGCACCACCGTATTCAGCCGCCTAGCGTCAATTCCCGATTTTGCTCACTGCGGATTTCGGGACAAGTCATTCTGTATTTTGGGCAAGATGCTATGAGAATCACGGCTCCGTGAACGAGGTAATAGCTCGGACGCGCCTACTATTGGGGAATCAGACCCAGTAATGGACATGAATGTACACCCAAAGTGAGCAACTATTATTCACGTTATTGATATATTCACGTTTATATCAACTTTGTTCATCTGTGACCATCAACTAGAAATGAGGCTTTTGTTGAAACCATAAGGGGGCGTATTCGTGAAGAGTTCAAGGGGTCATGTATTGAAGGTATCAGTTCACGAGCAAATTTACTTTTCCATGTTGATTTCTCAAACTTCGAAAAGCTTTTTTTTGCTAATTCTGCAACTGGTGGACGAGTGATCATTTAGTATGAATTTTTTTGATCTGATGATTCTTTGATCTTTCGACAATGAGTAGGAACATACCACTCGACAAACTGCACGGTTCGTTTTGATTTCACTGCTGAAATGGCCGAGTTGATGTCCTTTGGGACGACATCACCTCTATAGAGCAAGCAGACAGCCTTAAAAGCAGGTATTAATTTTTTGGCGCTAAGTCCTGTTACTTGAATTCTTTTTTTGTATTATGATTCCTTTTCATGTCTGTCATGTCCACTGACTTATAAAGAAAAACCATTCTTTCTCAATTCTACTGACGGGGAGCGAAATATTGGGGAGCTTTCGACTTTCTAGGGCTCCGCCGCTACATAATCCGAGGAGTGAGAAGTAGAGGGTTCTACTACGCAAGAACAAGTCTAAAAATTAATAAGGGGATTTATTGATTCTCTCCTACTTTTATAGCTTTTATGAGATTGTTCCTAGTTTTCTTTCGCGATGTAGAAGCACTTGCAAGGCATGGCTCAGCCCTCATAAATTTCTGTTCTCCAGGGCACAACACACGCTCAGCAGAGCCCGATCCTGCGCTACACATGATTTTCTTGTAGCCGCGTTATCCTCTCTATCGTCTCAAACGAAGAAGACTTCAGCGAGCGCACAGAGCTACGGCCACAGTTCAGCATCCGGGAAAAACTTGATACGCTGAATTAGAAAACGCTTCGTTGGTTCCCTCGCTTCAAGTAAATCATTGGCAATGAAGCCTCACAATAACTGGTGTCTTCACGGAAGTCATAAAATCTCTTACCATCATATCCCGTCTTGATCACACTTTCACCATTTGGCTACCAGGTTCGCATAGCATGCGTTCGTCAATGTCAGCTCCCCCGCCCCCTTCGTATTCTGTTCGTGAGGTGCATTATCGATGGCTACGAGTGGTGCGTATGTGATCAGTGGGAAATGGATTCGCGGGTACGGTACCTGCAATGAGTCGACTATAAAACGTGAACGATAAAATTCTGGGAAACTCACGAGATTCGTCTGAAACTCGGTGAGATCGACGTTTCAGTGCTCCGTCCAAATCGCAGGCGAATCAGTATGCGATGAGAGCCGTTTGAGTCAATCATACGATTTAAATTCGGGTGCGTGGGCTGAAATTTCAACTGATTCATCGAATCCGGATATCTTCGGCCGCATCTACTCTCTGTTGGATACCTTGCCATTTTTACGCCTAGGAACTCTTCAAGAACTCCAAACAGTGGCCGAATAGTAAGAGTGCTTTTTTTGTTTTTGTTTTTTGTGAAATTCTTCAAATTCATCCCATAAACGAGAAGAACGAGAAATGGAATCAGAGAATTAGTGGAAAGGTGGGCTGCCAGCACAGTCACGATCCGTGGTTCGAATTTTGAGGCGAATGTCTCCCAGAATAGTCAAAGTGACTTCCAACCTGGCTAGATCAAGCTTTCTTCGACAGATATCATAGATGGCCTCGTTGTCGGCCATGAACGAACAATCGGAATGTTCCAACGTGGTATGTGTCATGAGTATCGAATTGTACGGTTCAACCATTGCTGTAGAAATCTGAATTAATCGCAGTTTAGGGCAGCTTGAATGAAATCAGCTTTCTTGACGTCGGCTTGGTATTTACTTCTTTGTCGAAACATTTTTTCTATTTCATCCCGCAACCCATTAGGGTACTATATCAGTCGATTCCCAGGCAGGAGTTGGGGTAGTAACAAGTGGCGCGCTCACCACTCGCGCGGTACTGGTTCAAACCCGGGTCGACTCCAACCCAGGCCAAGCCTTCTACCCTCCGGGGACGGTAAATTGGTACCAGATTCGTCTGGGAGGATAAAACACTGACTTGTACATCGGCTGGCCACCGCAAGTCATTGTATAGGCCACATCGCATTCAATAAGCCACTACGATTCTGAATGGAAGTAGAATGCGTGCCGCATCCCACAAAGGGATTGATCAACGGCGAAGACTTTATCCTTTTATTTTCATCCGTTAATTCCCACAGGAAGACGGTGGGTAGCGTCAGCGGTTTGCCTTATAGTGCTGTTGGGCGCAGTTCGGCCACAGGTGGGTGGCATTTTGCACCTTCGCTGCTTCACTAGTTCCGTTTAACTACTCTCACTCGTGAACCCCGTGGAAAATTGCAGAGCTGGTGTAAGCTCGTCGAGCCGTCATGGTAAATGATACCATTTGTAAGGTGTTTTACTGCTTTACAAGAGTTGACTAGTGGTGTCTACAAACGTTGTCTGGTACCGTTTCATGGCTTCAAAATGTTGCAGTTCTCCACTTGTTGGCTCAACACGTCGATGGGAAGTAGCAAAAATGCAAAATGCTCCCCCACCCCACCCAATCGCCGAAAGCTCTTGTTGTCGCAGCAGCTGCTACCCTGCTCAGCAAGACTCAGAAAAACGTATGATGTCGATTCCATTTAAAGACAAGCTGTACGCGTTCCTGGGAGATGGAACCCCATGTGGGTGGTGAATGGGCTTGCAGATGATGTGGAACAATTTCATTTTTACCACTTGGGAGGACGGGGATATGAGCCCACATTAAGTGAGAGGGTCGTAGTGAAAGGAGTTGTCGCTTGGATGATGTCCACAACGAGCAGCATGGACGTCGATGCCGAGGCCCCGAAGAAAATGAACGGCAAGCTGCTTATAGTAGCCCAGTGCAGGGAACAGAAGCTAATGAACCAAATAGAAGAGTCACAGGCAAAGAGCGCGATCTGCTTGGCGAGGCCTATAACTCCTAATGCGGCGTGTCGCGTACTGCGTGCTTTGCTGTGGTTGGAATCTCAGATAGCATCCAGCTATGCATGAGCAATCCAGCCTCATTTCCGCGCACTTTCGAGGGGCGAACGAGGCACGCAGCTACAGTCGCATATGGCAAAGACCAGGGTCCTAGGAGGTGAGTGTACAGCGTGTCCTTGGAAAAAAATACCTTCCAATTATTCCACTCTAATGCGGGGCGCAAACCGATCTGTGCCTGACATTAAGCCGCCTTTCTTTCACAAGACAGTAGAGGGGGATGCACCAACGAGTACGGTAAGTGGGGGGGGGCTGATCACGCCCACGCGATTAGTGTGGAGTGTTACTTGAAGATTTGCTCTTTTAGCTTCGAAACCCCAATACTGTGCCCATATTGAAGCGCAC